ATCTGTGTTTTCTGCCATTGACCAGACTCCGTCCCAAGGCACCAGGTCAGCAATATCCTTCACGTTGCTCAGTATCTGACCCAATCGCTCACAATGTAAGAAGTCACTCTGATCTGGCGGTTGTTTCCCCATCACCACCTCACACACCCGTGAAGCAGGCTGGAGCCTGCTGAGCGGAGGGAGTGAGCAAGATGGCAGGGGGTTAGAAGGTCACAGAGATAGGGGGGAGCAAGACCATGGAGGGCTTTGAAAGTGACCGCAGAGGGCCTTGAACTGTATCCTCTGTGTGATGGGAAGCCAGTCGAGTCGGGGGAGGATGGGGGTAATTGGGTCACGGAGCCTGGTGCGGGAGAGGACATGGGCTGCAGAGTTCTGGATGATCTGCAGCCTGTGGAGGGAGGAGTTGGGGAGGCCGACAAGTAGTGAGTTTGCATAGTCGAGCCTCGATGTAATGAAGGTGTGTGTGAGGATCTTGGGGGCCTGCAGTGTGAGACAGTGGTGGAGCCGGGCGACATTGCAGAGATGGGGAAGACAGAGCGGGTCATGGCACAGATGTGGGGTAGAAAGGATAGTTGAGGGACAAACAAGATTCCAAGGTTCCAGACTGGCTCAGTGAGGGGGAGTGAGCAACCGTCGATGGTGATGCTGTCGGCACCTGAGATGAGGAGGCACTGAGGTGAGGAGGAGCCAATCAGGAGAGCCTCAGTCTTGTTGACGTTCAACTGTAGAAAGTTAGCTCTCATCCAGGACTTGATGTCTGACAGACATACTGTCAGGACAGCAGTGGGTCCTGGAGTCAAGGGGGGAGGCAGAGAGATAGAGTTGGGTGTCCCATCTGCACACATGTGGGAGTTGACCCCATGTCTGCGGATGATGTCACGAAGAGGGAGCATATAGATATTGAAGAGGAGGGGACCAACGACAGAGCCCTGAGGAACGCCGCACGAGACAGTGTGGGGGCTGAAGGAGAAATCATTTGTGGAGATGAAGTGCAGGCGGTGTGAGAGTACGATCTGAACCAGTCAAGGACAGCGCCGTGAAGGTTGAGGTGAGAGGAGAGGTGGTGGATGAGAATAGATTGACGGTGTCGAAGGCAGCAGAGACATCAAGGAGAACGAGGAGGCAGAGGGGGCCCTGGTCGTAGATGGACAGAATGTCATTCATCACTTTGACCAGGACTGTTTCTGTGCTGTGGGCGGCATGGAAACCCGACTGGGGGAGTTCGAGAAGGGAGTGGCGGGAGAGGAAGGAGCGAAGTTGCTAATCAACAACTTGTTCCAGGACCTTGGAGAGCAAGTAGAGGTTGGAGAGTAGATTGGGAGTAGAGTTGGGTCCAGGGAGGGCTTTTTAAGGATAGGAGTGATGACTGCCATTTTTAATGGGATGGGAACAGTACCAGAGGTTTATGATGTCTGTGAGTAGAGTGGCAAGGAGGTGGAGTTGGGAGGTCAGGAGAGGGAGAGATGGGGTCGAGGGGCAGGTGATTGGTTTCATGGGGGTTATAGTGGTGGTAAGACAGGAGTGGGAGACAGGTTGGAAGGTGTGGAGGGAGGGATGGGTTGGGGCCGGGGTGGTAGGCGGAACAGGAGAGGCAGCTGAGCGGATTCCCTTGATTTTGGATTCAAAGAAATCCAGCATCGCCTCGCAGTTAGCATTGGAGGTCAGGATGGGGGAGGCGTGAGAGGGTGGGCATAGGAGCTGTTTGGTGATGGAGAAGAGGAGCTTGGGGTTGTCATTGGCTTGCACGATTGTCTTGGAGTAGAACGACGATTTAGTGGAGGTTAGGGCGGAGCGGTAGGATTTGATAAGGTCCAGCCAGATCTGCCAATGGATCGTTAAGTTCGAGTTAAGCCAGATGCGATAAGCAGTGTACCATGGTGTTTTAGGTGAATAGGAGACGATTTGGCAAGTGAAACGAGAGTGGAGGAGAGGGAGCTGTGGGGAAGGGTAACCGAGGAGGATAGGTCATTGTGGGAGGAAGCCCAGAGGGTGAGGAGTTCAGATGACTCCAAATGGGGGGTAGTTGAGATTTTTTTCCAGAGTTGGTAGGAGATGGTGGTGGTGAGAAGAGGGATTGAGGAGTTGAGGGAGATGAAGTGATGGTCCGAGATCACTTTGTCGATGATGGTGAGGTCTGAAATGGTGAGGCCCCGAGTGATCACCAGGTCGAGGGGGTGTGATCTGACCTGCAGTCTGAAGTTTTCCAGCAATGTTGTATGCCAATGGATAGCATAAAGTTTGCCAAGCTATTCCTAACCATGTGATCAGTTCCTGAGCTACTGTAAACTCCATTGCTGAAATTGTGTGAAACTTGGAAAGTCGGCAGAGAGCACCATTGTTGGAGGGATTGCTCCATATTTTAAAAGTCCAGGTTGCCATTCCAATCTCCCATCAGAGCAATGAGCTGCCAGGAAACGTATGCTTGGCCCATAATCTTGAGGGTCCTCTGGGACTCGACATATCGCTCAGGTAGCTTTCGTAACTCTGAGCCTAAACAAATATCATGTCCTCTCATTCCTCAATCATTTCTTTACTGTTGGGAGTAATGCTAAATTACGCTCCACCAGAAAATAAATGTTTAATCCAGCTTTTGATGTGGCCTTCTTCCTTTTCCAAATACCATCTATTTGCTTCGCTCCAGGCTTCTTTTGCCACCCATTGCCTCCCACTGAGCAGGTTCTATGTTCTGGAGACTAAATGGAACAAATGGTTTCCTTCAGTGGATAAGCAGAATCCACACCCCAGTTTGAAGGCATTTAACTCTGCAAAGTATGATTCCTGGTGATAAAATGCCAACGATTCCATCTATTTTAAATCCAGTTGATCATAACCCCATGAAATTCAACCTGGGCTTAGATTTACTCAGAATTTATCAGAATTTCAGAGCATGTGGAATGTGGCAAAGTCTCTACTGTAATTAATAAGACTATAATTAATTGTTTTGCCAAATTCTGGAGGCTCTAAAATTCTAAGAGAATTAGAGTAAATCTAGATCCAGGTGGAATTTCTCACTCAGGTCTCTTGTAACAAATATGGTTTACTACAATCCTGGTTGGATGTATCTCACCAGTCTCAGGGCACCAGGCCTAATTCAGGTGCACTCAGTCTGTCCTACTTGGGGTTCCGTTTGTGAAAGATTGACCTAGAAATAATGTTAACATTGAGGCAAAATAATCTAGACATTAAAGCAACTATCATTCTGGTCAAATCCTATGAAATGCTTTGACATCTTCTTGATGTGAAGTTTTTTGTGTGGCGTTTAGAACTTCCTGCTCATCTCTGCCCAGATCATCTGTCAAGGTCATTTCTAACTTTATATACAAACTCACCATCATTTAGATATAATGTACTATTCAGTGTTTGTTGCATTTAGAATCACTTACCTTCAGTGTGGATATCAGTTAGTTGAGAGAAAGCCATCAGATTGGAGATTGCCTGCTTAGTGACGTTGCTGTGATTTTTTGCTGGGTCCTGGATTCCAATAAACCCCAGACTGTATGCAGTCCTCTGTCAAATAGCTCTGTAAAAAGTGAAATTAAGCTAAATTTATGCAATAGTGTATACACCTCGGGCTGGGTGGGGGGCATGGAGACATTCCCCCTCTCCTGTACTTTTGGGATGCTTCTTAAATCTGAATAGAATACCAAATATGGAGGAATGCGCTCTGAAATGCTATCCAGCGTGGAGGGTGCTATGTAAGTGCAAGTTGCTGCTGCTGTTGTTGAATGGGAATAAAGGAATTTATTTGAACTGGAAATGTCTCAAAAGTACTTCACAGAAAAATAGGAGTTTGGGCCGAGAGGTTAGGATGGAGGTGGATAGGATTTTTGGAATGGTATTGTAAGGGAAAGGGAAGTTGGAAGGTGGAAGGATTTTGGTAGAGTTCCAGAGAATGGGGTCAAGGTGGCTGAAAACTTGCCCTCCAATGGGTGGGGTAAGTGGAGTAGCTTGATTTAGTACCGTGGCGGGGAGATTAGGGCAGCTGATCACAGTAGTAGGGAGGGACAAAGGTGAGATGTTTGGAGGTTAGAGCAAGGATGTTAAGTCAGAGAGCCAGTGAGGATGGGGATGATGGGCTCGCAGGGCCTGTATGGAAAAGGATGCAAGCTGCAGAGTTCTGGATGATCTGCAGCTTGTGGAAGGATGTGGGTGGGAAGACTGGCATTAGAAAAATCATGTTAGGCAAGTTTCCTTACTCCACACGTCTGTTTATCTAACCGTAAGTAGGAACCCGGTTGGTAGTCGACTGGCGGATAGCTTTTCTGGAAGTAATAATCCCTTCAAAAAAAATCATTAAAAAAATAATTATTTGGTCACTCAATTCCTACGGCTGTTTGTGGGACACTGTTATACCCAATTGGCTGCCACGTTTCACCCACAAAATATACAGCCAATTCATTTTATATTCCGTAAAGCGCTTTGAGACGTGAAAAGCACTATATCAAATTCAAGGATTATTATTTTATTATATTCTGTGAAGCACTTTGAAACGTCTCAAAGAAGTGATAAGACACTATATCAAATGCAATTATTATTATTATTGGCTCACAGCATAAATTGCCATTAATCTGTCACCTTTCATGTCGGGAGGACGACCCAAGGCGCTGACAGTCAGGGATTTAGACCCGAGCAGGGGGTTGGGATCAGGAAGGGTGGAGGGCAGGGGAGGGTGACTGAAGGCACTGTCAGAGGAGTCTTGAGATGGGCCTTGAAGGAGGCAAGGGAGGAAGTGAGGCAAAGTGACTGTGGGATGGAGTTCCAAAGGGTGGGGGCAGAGAGGCTGAAGGCCCGACTGCTGATGGTGGGTTGGGCCGGGTGGTGTACATGGAGCAGGCCGGTGCCTGCTGAGCAGTGGAAGTGCACAGGTTCATATAGTGTAAGTAAGTCAAAGTTCTATGGAGGAAATGGGGTGAGGGGTGGAGGGGAAAACAACGCAGATTCAATGATGTACAGGAGCTCGCCGGCTTTTTATATCTGAATGACAATAAACCAGTCGTCACTCTTGGAAATTATGATTTATTGACACTAGCTCTCAATTCATTGCAGATTCCAGCAAAACGCATAACAGTGCAAATCTGTCTCCAAGCAGCTCATGAAGGCTTGCAGCACCCTTCCTGGGCTCAGTGCTGACAGCCATTTCACTGTGCTACCCACAGCCTCACACAAGGTTCTTTCTCTTCTCCCTGTTTCACAAGAGGTTGCTTATCAAGCCCCCGATCCCTGGCCACATCAGCCAATTCACTGGTGAGTAAAGGAAACACTAACAGCAAGAAGATGATACACATTGTAGCTTTCAGTTCAATGTTTGTGGAAAATAGCCAATTATTTTATATGCATAATATTTCAATTCTAACCATTTTAATTCTAATGTTTTTTTCAAAGATGAAGGACACAGAAAACTTACCATCTTATTGTCATACAACATATTGGTTTTAAAGGTTTTAACATTAAACAATAAATAGTAAACAGTATTTTCAGTGGGGAAAGAGTTTCTGTCTAACGCATCTACCTCAGTCCTTTATACTTATAGCAAAATACAATGCAAATCTTAGAATTGCAAAAAACAAGTTAGAAACATTTTTTTTAAAAAATAAAGCGACTATTCACAACTGTAGAATTTATAATTCAAGGGGCCTGACTTGGGGGTGGGATACGACGGTGGAGGTGGGGCCTGACTGAAGGGGTAGGGCACGAATGTGGGGGGGGATGGGGGGAGAGGGAGAAAGGGTGTGGATGAATGAGTTAAAGTTATCACAATGCCAAGGGGCATTGCCGTCTTCACCACCACCAATATCAGAATTCATGAGTATCCGTATACGTCTGTGACACTGAATCTAGACCATTGGTGTTTGTTGCTTGTGCAGTTAGTTCACTCTGGTCTACAGTGTGTGTGAGTGAAGGATATCATTCGGACAAATGGGAGAGGGTGTTTAAAGTCTTCCTGCGCATCTCCTCCAGGGCCATTTGCTTTTCTTTCAACATTTCCTTGAGCCGGTTTATCTTTTCGTCCCGCACCGTTTCATCAACTTCCAGTGGGTTGGAAAGTGTGAGATCCTGACTGGCTTCCATCCCGGGCATGTCTAGTTTATGAATAAAGCTGGGTGTGTTCTCTTCTGCAACGTCGCTCAGTTCGAGAGAGGATAAAACCTCCAGACAGTCTGGAGATGTTGCCACTGAGTTCCCAATGTGAGTCATCATGGAAGCTCCAGTCTTAAACTCATTAGAAGATTCCATTTCACACGATTCAACCAGATTTTCACAATGAACATTTCCTTCATCGTTTTTTCTCCTCTTGGTGTTCATTGATTGAGAGTTTGTATCTGAAGTGACGTGATCTGAAGTCTCAGTCTCTTCTGTTGCAACCTACATGAAAGGTTCAAATGATCAGTATGTTCTTCAGCAAAAGATAGAACAAAAAGTTCATCTTCAGGGAACTTAAGAGGCCTATTTTTTGATTCAAACTAGGGTGCTACTAGATATTTTTCTCCTATACAGCAAAGCTATAATGCTAGTCAATGCAAACTGCAACTTATATAATTGTTAATCAATAGGAGTGCTGTAGCGTTTTGGTTAGGGCACTTGTCTCGTAAGCAAGAGGACCCAGGTGGGGTGAAACCTTAGGCAAGTTTCCTTACTCCACACGCCTCTATTTACCCAGCAGTAATTAGGAACCTGGTTGTTAGTCTGCTTTTCCAGGGGTAATAATCCCTTCAAAAAAACAATAAGTGGGTCACTCAATCCACGACTGTTTGTGGGACGCTGCTGTGCGCAATTGGCTGCCGCGTTTCGCCCACAAAATATACAGTCAATTCACTTTACAGTATATTCTGTGAAGCGCTTTGAGACATCTTGAAGACGTGATAAGGCGCTATATCAAATGCAGGGATTATTATTATTATAATAGAGGGCATAGAAACAAAGTGTTATAGCACAGAAACAGGGCATCAAGTCTGTGTTATTTTCCACGAGACCAGAAATCCTAGTCTTGCACCTTTTGTTCCTCTATTAATTGCCTTTGAAAGGAATTACTGGGCTGTGATTGCACAATGGCACTTAGTACAGAATTCTCAATTCTAATTCAGAATGTCTACTTTTTTTTTTGGAAGTGACATCACCGCGCTCACCCCCAACCCCAACCCCACCCCCATTCCCACCCCAACCCCCACTCCCAACCCCACCCCAACCATACTACCGTTAAATAAAAACAAAATTCAGAGTAGTTTTTTTTACCGTTTGTCACCCCAGAGCCGTCCCCTCCTATACTAGGTTATGTTAGTGAGCACTGCATCAACAACAAATTACATTTACACAGCGTCTTTCATGTCAGGAGGATATTCCAAGGTACTAGATAGTCAAGGATTTGGACCTGAATAGAGGGTTAGGATCAGGAGGGGTGGAGGGCAGAGTGGGTACGGTTAGGAGGGTGACCGAAGGCACTATCGAAGAGGAGGGTCTTGAGATGTGCCTTGAAGGAGGAAAGCGAGGGAGCGAGGCAAAGGGACTGTGGGATGGAGTTCCAAAGGGTGGAAACTGATCATCCTGGTTACTTGCAAGAATAAACTAAAATTCAGTGGGAGGAAAACCTTGGGCGAGTGTAAGACCAGTTCCACATACACTGGACACCAGAAATCTTCAGTATTTGGACGGCTCAAAACCCCTACCTCTACTGAAACTAAATGAAGCCACTTTGGGAAGACTCGGATCCTTGAGAAAATCATAGAACGCTCCAGCACAGGCCATTTGGCCATCGTACTTGCTCTAAAGGACCTATGCACTTAGTGCCTCTCTGGTCTGCCTTCTTCCCTTCCATTATAGATTACTTAGATTACCCCCATTTATATTGATCTGTGACTCATGCTTTACACCATGAACTAAAAACAACCACTGAGAAAAACACATTGTGTGGTTCTCGTACAATCACTGAATGAGCTGCAGGACCTACTGCTCACTTTTCCACTACTCACTAGTCTCCTGGCCACACACCACAGGTACCATAAACACTCACCATACGCCACCCACACATGCGCCACACACACTCCACACACACACACACACACACTCACAGCATGCAGGCGCACCACACACTCACCATGCACACACGCACACCACACACTGCACAAACACGGACCACATGTACCCAAATACACACCACACATACGCAAGCACACATCACACCCACCAGACACACGCTTACCACACACAGGCTCACCACACACACACGCACATGCACTACACACGCACACATGGACCAGACCACACGCACCACAACACACGCACACCACACAAAACATGCACCATACACGGACGCACCACACACGCACGACATACACACACATGCACCACAGATTTTCCAAGTCTACTGAATGGTGATTAGAAGCAAGAGTCGGATTAATAGTCCCTTTTCCCATCCCGAGTTTCCAGCAATGAACAGCTAACTTAACGTAGATCAAGAACCAAACCCAGCAGTTCATGGCAGTGTGGCACCAGGCAGTAGGTTTACTAATAGCCATTGGAGGAGCAACTCAGTTAGTCATTTCTAACTTCTCAGTTTTACAAATCTCAACGGTTCCTGCAGCATCAATGTTGAATGTATCAGTATATGACCTTTAGTAAATTGAAATACCTCTTTTCTCTTCCTTTCAAATGTACAAAAGGTTTCCTCTTTGGGACTGGAAGCAATTGGTGAACAGTTTTCCAAATGTACTGGAGTAGGTTGTATGGAGCAGTCTTCAAACTCGAACTTAGGGAGCTCTGGACATCCTTCCAATCCTCCTGGCACCGGATCAGGCTGTGTGGAGATCTTTAATTCCAACAATTTCACCGGGTCAGTCTTCACAGAGAGGTCTGGATATCTTCCGCACTCCTCAGGGAGATTTGGGCATTCTACCAATTTTATTGGGTCAGGTTCTTTGAGAAACTCTGGGGATCCTGCCAATAGGTTGGATTCCTTGGGGAGCTCTGGGCATCTTTCTGATTCCATTGAGCCACATTCCTCAAAGAGCTCAGAGGATTGTGGAACTTTGATGGGATCAGATTTGTTGAAGAGCTGTGGGCATTCTGTCAGTTTTACTGGGTTAGTTTCCTTGCATTGCTCTGGGTATCCTGCATATTCTGCTGGGCCACAATCTTCAGCATGCACTGGGCAGCACTCCAATCCCACTGAGTCAGGCTGTTTGGAAGATGCTGAAATAGTAGCTGCTCGAATTTCTGAAACATGCTTTACGGAAACTTTTGGATGTTTTCCTGACTCCTCTGGTACATGCTTCATGTGTATTCTATGGAGGAGAATTCGAACATCAGAATTGATCCCGGCTTGTAACAATAAGCGTTCATCTTCTGTACATTTATATGTCATACAACTTGCTGCTGTAGGTTTAGGTAACGGCTTCGCAACCTGTAAAAACATGCAATGCAAAGATTCTAATCAGCTTCTCTGATTTTTTTGAAAAAAAATTATAGATCTAACGAGGTATGTGACAAAAGATTGTATTTGAAAACAAAACATCAATTTGCTCTCCAAAACAGAAGTGGCATCTATTTCCCTGGTTGAGAACATGCCCCACAAATTATTACATAGTTGGAGAGTTTGCACCAAGGAACCAAACACAGTTTTTAACTGGGAGCATTATTTATTGGGCAAAAAACAATTATTGCTAGCTTAGCTATCAATTAGTAATATTTTTGCCCAGCAATTTTTTTTCTGATTCTAAGGCACTCTGGCCTGAACATTCTCCAGAATACGACACTGGGTTGGAGTGCAAATGTTTTTTGGTTGGCTGGTGGTAGCTCTACTCCTTTCAAAAGGATAATGTGTACCAAGAGGATTGAAGGGCTGAGGGACGACAATCATTCCATCAACAAAATACACACTTTACAGTATATCCTGTGAAGCACTTTGAGACGTCTCAGTGACGTGATAAGGATTATGCAAACATTATTATTATTATTGTAGCACTGGGAGAGATGCAATTTTGAATTGTATATTGTAGAGAATACAGAGAAGAAATACATTTCATATTGAAATACTGAAAATCAAACAGCAAGTTATATAACTTGGTCGGTATTAAATTAAAAAGAAAAAAAAATGGCCAAATCTTCAGCAAGAAGAGATTAAAAAAACACATTTACCAACATATGACGTATGGAAGGACACCAAACAAAGATATTGAATATTTCATCATTCAGGTCTACATGAATATTTAACTGGTGATACATAGCTGGTAATTAAGGTTGGACTGGTGCAATAACAACTTGCATTTTTATAGCACTTTTCTGCATAAAAATGTCTTGAAGCACTTCAGAAAATATGATTAGAAATAAGGTGAAAGTTATTAAATTGTCAATCAGCACCAACAATGTTCCACAAATGAGATACGCAGCCAATTAAATAGAATTTTGGGGATACATTTAAGATGGGGGTGGGCAGGAGGATATAAAGTTTAACCAGAAGATGACTCCACTCAGCTCCACTCAGTAATGGCAGGGTGATCGGATACATTGACTTTCAACAAAACTTGTGTTCCAGGTTTGATGGATCAAAGAAATATCAGCTGGGGAATATCATACGACCATGTTCGATTCTCGGGCAGGGCAAAACCTTAGGCAAGTATCCTTACTCCACACACCTGTTTACCTACACTAAATAAGAATCCGTTGTTAGTCAATTGGCGAATTGCTTTCCAGGATAATAATCGTTTCAAAAATAAATAAATCCACGATTGTTTGTGGGACGCTGCTGTGTGCAATTGGCTGCTGCATTTCGCCCACAAAATAGAGTCAATTCATTTTACAGTATATTCTGTGAAGCGCTTTTGAGACGTCTCAACGATGTGATAAAGCGCTATATCAAATACAAGGATTATTGTTATTATAGATCATGGAAGAACAGAGAGTGTAACATTACAATGATATCATGTGCTTTTTCCTGGTTTCCATTGATAGTGAGGGAGAACTTTTTGAAAGTACTTTTGATATTTCATTTGTTTTATCAGAGATGCCTGGTCTTCAGTACATTTCTGTAAACATCCAATACAGACACTTCAGGGTAGAGCAATGTACTTCGGGGGATGTCAATTAAAATGACAGTATATTCTATGAAGCGCTTTGAGACGTAAAGACGTCTTGAAGACGTGATAAGGCACAACATCAAATGCAAGGATTATTATTATTCTGTTAATCTGTTGACCACTCCATCCTCATACACCGCCTCTCCTCCTTACTTAATCTTCACTGACCTGCCCTTGCCTGGATTGAATCCTATCTCTCTCACCGTCTCCACTTTGTTGCCTCTAACGGTTTCTCCTCCAGCCCCCGCACTGTCACGTGTGGCGTCCCCAGGGCTCTGTCCTTATCTCCTCTTTAATATCTACATGCTCCCCCTCGGGGACATCATCCACAGACATGGGGTCAACTTCCACATGTACGCGATGACACCCAACTCTATCTCTCTGCCTCCACCCTCAACTCCAGGGCCACTGCTGTCCTGACACTGTCTGTGGGACATCAAGTCCTGGATGAGGGCAAACTTCCTACAGTTGAATGTGAACAAGACTGAGGCCCTCCTGATCGGCTCACGGCAGCGCCTCAGCACCTCAGGCTCCGGCAGCATCGCCCTCCATGGTGTACACTACAACTCACCAGTCAGTCAGGAACCTGGGGGTCTTGTTCAACCCTCAACTGTCTTTTCTTCCCCACATTCAGGCCATGACCCGCTCTGCCTTCCCTCACCTCCGTAACATCGCCCGACTCCACCACTACCTCACCCCTCAGGCCACTGACACTCCTGTTCATGCCTTCATCACCTCCGGCTCCACTGCAAACGCCCTGCGTGTCGGCCTTCCCAACTCCTCCCCCCACAGGCTGCAGATAATCCAGAACTCTGCAGCCCGCGTCCTCTCCCGCACCAAACTCCGTGACCCCATTCTTGCCCAACTCCATTGGCTTCCTATCCTTCAGAGAATCCAGTTCAAGACCCTGATCCTCACATACAAAGCCCTCCATGGCCTCCCTACCTCTGCGAACTCCTAACCCCCTACGATTCCGTCTGTTCCCTCCGCTCAGCCGACTCTGGCTGCTCTACGTCCCCCAACCCACCCGCCCCACCATTGGCGGGAGAGCCTTCAGCCACTCTGGCCCCAACCTCTGGAATTCCATCCCCCAATCACTCCGCCTCGCCTTCTCCTTAGCTTCTTTCAAGTCCGGCCTCAAGACCCTCCTCTTCGACTATGCCATAGGCCACCCCCGTTCCCCTCCCCGCCCTTCCCCCCCACCCGACCCCAGCTCGGATCTGAAATGCTGTCACTGTCCAGTACCTTGGGACGTCCTCCCAACGTGAAAGGCGCTATACAAATGTAATCTTGTTGCTGTTGTTGTAATCCAATAAATGCTATAAAAATGTAGGTTATTTGCTCTTTCTTAGGACAGGAACACCTCTGGACAGTGAGTCTCACTCAATATGGTGTTTGTTTACCAGTATGTGCTGTTCTCCACAGAACAACCTTCAAGGTCCTCAAAACTCCAGGCCAAGCTTTTGGAAATACCGCACTCAAATGCAAACTATTTTCAAAATGCATTCAAGCTTGCAGCAGCTGGCGACTTCAGTAAATGGATAGGAACGGTTGTTCCTATTGCATATATAATACAACAAATGTGCTCCAGAATGACACCAATCGCCCTGATCGGCACCTGGTGGTGAACCTATGAACTGCAAGTTGTCCAGTTCACATCTAGTTTAATTACACCAGATACTCTACCTGCAAGTGGTGCAAATAACACCACCAACAACTTGCACTTATCTAGCGCCCTTCACAAAGGGTAGTGTCCCAGAGCACGACTCCAAGCCAGGGGGAAGGGGGTGATGACCAGTTGGATAGGAAGGTCTTCAGGCACGATCTGAAAATGGGGAAGGCAGGGGCAAGGCGGAGGGGTAGAGGAAGAGAGTTCCAGAGTGTCGAGGCGAAGTGGTTGAAAGCGCAAAATAATCGAGAAATCCAGAGAAAATCCATGCTTTCTATTTCTGAAGTTTTTTCTGCAGAATGAAGCATTTTTTTTGGTTGAAAAGTCAATTAGGTTATTGTACATTTAAGCAATAGAGTTAAACAATCTCTTCTAGATATTGCGCCTATAATAGTGAAGCAGCTCAAAAGAGTTTTATAGAAAACTGCTGACTGACTTTTCTACACTACAAAATTAGCTCCACAGTTTATTTTGCAGTATATACTGTGAGGCAATTTGAGACAAAAACATAATAAGGCGCTATATCAAATGCAAGGATTATTATTTACTGGCAGAGTGGCTGGGGAAGTGGATGGTGGAAAGAGGGGGGAGAGAGGGAAAGGGAGAGAGGGAAAGGGAGAGAGAGGGGAGAAAAAGGTTGGAGAGAGCTCAGGAGAGAAAGAGGAGGGTGGGAGTTGAAGAGGGGGAAAGAGAAGGGGAGAGGGGGAGAGAAAGAGGGAGGAGGAGGGACAGAGAGGGGATGGGGGAGGGATTCTCTCTCAGGCACTCTCTCCTCTCTCACTCAATTACTCTCTCACTTCCCTTCTCACTCTCGCTTCCCTCTTACACTCAACCGCCCCCTCTCAATCTCTCTCTCTTCCCCACTTTCTCTCTCCCTCTCCCCTCTTCCCCCTACTCTCTCCCCGCCCTCTCCTTTCTCATCCACTCTCCCCCTCTCTCTCTGGGACGTCGTCCCGACGTGAAAGGCACTATACAAATATTGTTGTTGTTGATAAGACTTGCTGAGGCACGTTGAGTCCTGCCACCCACCGACTCCTGCCGCTGCTCTGGGAGGATGTTCACTGGGGAGGGAGTGGATGTTGCAACGATGGAAATGGTCGTGAGCTGCATAAAATCACCCACGGGCTGCCTGTTAGACCATGCGGTGCTAGACCATTATTTTGTGGTCACAGCTTAGTTGTTCTGTGCTAATGGTATACAACTCTTACACAAAGGTAACCAAACATGGTGCAAAAGACTGCTGGTAGATGCAGAATCATGCACACTATGGAAATGATTTATGGGATGGATCCAAAAAGGAATCCAAGTCCCATACATTTAAGCTTTCAAAAGGTTCACCTTGTGGGTCAGGTCCAATCCATTCTGACCCAAGTCTTGAACGTCCTTCTTCATTCTGTCCTGGTGAATGAATGAAGTTTCAGCTTTTGTGCCAGATTCGGGATATTTTAAAGAGACTTTCCTCTTGATGGTAGGTTTGTGGTGTCCATCAGGCGGTTGGCTGCCTGCATTCTGCTTTGTGGTTGTGCATGAGGTTGGGATGTTTGGCAGCCGCTGTGGGGGCTGTGCTGAGGCCATCACTGGCGATGACCTTTTTTCAGAAACAGTTGGAAGATCAACGCTTTTTTGGGCCAAGAAGTAGAGTTGGCTGTTGTAGAGCAGCAACGCATTCTCCTTGAAAGAAGTATGGGCACTCTTGATCTCCATTGGAAGGCTGGAGCAAGCCTGCAGGAGGTTCTCAACGCTGCCCCCATTCGCTTGTTGCTTCACAAATTTCTTCAACACCTGAGAGGCCAGATTGTTGCAGAATTTCACAGAAACTGGTGTGGGAGTGATGGCACCTTCCCTCCCCACCCTGTTCACTTTGGGGTCAGATGTCCGCACAGGAGGAGGTTTGCTGGGCTCTTTGGTCTCAGGGGAAGCGGATTCAGCTGTCTGAACTGGATCAGTGGCTGACATTGTGCTCTTACGTGGGGAAGCCAGAGGGAATAGGTGCTTGTGGTCAGCAGCCTTTATTTGCAACACAGGGCAGATGTAAATTGCTGTTGTCAGCCTGTTGCTCTCAGCAACCTTGGGGAGGCCACGTGATCCGCCAAAGATCTTCTGCTGAACCGCGAGAGGCAAGGAGGCAGTGTTAACACATCGGACCTCAGAGTTTACTGGGATCTGAATGTAAGTACCCGGGCTGGGCATGTTCCGAATGGCTCCAGAGCTCATTCTTGCATTGCTGAGCACTGAGGAAGGGCTGCTGCTGGCACAAGGCGTGCCCAACTGTTGGCCCGGAGCTTGGGAGACCGTTGGGCTTTGGTGGACATTGTTGAATTGATTTGTAGCATTTTTATTCATGGTTCTTTTCTAGCGTCCTTGTGGCAAGGCGAGCTCGTGGTTTCAGTCACTTCTGGAAGACTGTTTGTGGATTATCAAATTGGTCCTTGAGAATCTCAATATTCAGGTTCTCATGTTCAACACACCCTGGAGTGTAGGAGGAAATGGCCTCTTGCCTTTGAGGGGAATCCACTGCCCGTCTGCCCCCAACGAATCCAGATGATGCGTCGAAATCCTGAAAAACACACAAGAGCAAAGTAGGATGAATTACACTCGATGTTGCTAAATCTACCAGCAAACAGACCATCTACCATGAATAATACTGTGTTTAATACTCTGAGGGCACCATCATGTAAAAGCATCTTATTACTGAATCTAATTGTGTTCAGCTCCTTGGGCTGTCCTCCCGACGTGAAAGGCGTTATACAAATGTAATCTTGTTGTTGTTTAGGGGAGGGGAAGGAAGAGGTTTAAACACCATAGACAGCAAGAAGACTGATGGCTTTGAAAATGCCCCTAATACTGTGGAGAAGCATAACCAAGTGAGTTCTCTCTCCGCTTTTAAACTGTGTGCACAAAAGAATCGAGACTTCTCCAGAAATAATGTTACGCAAGAGATCTGTCTGTCTATCCACCAGCGTCCGACCAGGAGACTGCGGTCTGGACGTGAGTCCCGGTAATCAATCAAATCTAAACCTAAAGCGTAACTCAATCTTTCATTTATAAACTTCCTGATTTTAATCTGGCATACATACCCGGCCCCCGGCCCCCTGCCCCGCCCCCAGCACCCAGCCCGGCCCCCAGCACCCAGCCCGGCCCCCAGCCCGGCCCCAAGGCACCAGCCCAGCCCCCAGCCCTGAGCTCCCAGCCCGGCCCCCGGTCCCTAGCCCGGCCCCCAGCCCTGAGCCCCGAGCCCGGCCCCGAGCCCCCAGCCCCGAGCCCCCGGCCCCGCGCCCCAGCCCGAGCCCGGCCCCCAGCCCCGCCCCCAGCCCGGCCCCAGCACCCAGCCCGGCCCCCAGCCCGGCCCCAAGGCACCAGCCCAGCCCCCAGCCCGGCCCCCAGCCCTGAGCTCCCAGCCCGGCCCCCGTCCCTAGCCCGGCCCCCAGCCCTGAGCTCCCAGCCCGGCCCCCAGCACCCAGCCCGGCCCCCAGCACCCAGCCCGGCCCCAGCCCTCAGCTCCCAGCCTGGCCCCCAGCACCCAGCCCGGCCCCCAGCACGGACCCCAGCACCCAGCCCGGCCCCCAGCACCCAGCCCGGCCCCCCAGCCCCGAGCCCCCAGCCCCGAGCCCCAGCCCGGCCCCCCAGCCCCGAGCCCCCCAGCCCTGCCCCCAGCCCCGAGCCCCCAGCCCGAGCCCCCAGCCCCGAGCCCCCGGCCCCCACCCCGAGGCCCCAGCCCGGCCCCCAGCCCTGAGCCCCCAGTGTACACAGTGTGGGGGGGCCTGATGTTGGAAGCTCAGGATTGATGGGCGCTGCCTGTGCCACTGTCTATCAGTCTGTCTGCTCTCCCCCTAGTGTGTTCCTGCCCGCCTCCCCGCCCCGCCCGCCTCCCCGCCCCGCCCGCCTCCCCGCCTTCCTCCCCGCCCCGCCTGCCTCCCCCCCCGCCCCCCCCGCCCCCCCCGCCCCGCCCGCCTCCCCGCCCCGCCCGCCTCCCCGCCCCGCCCGCCTCCCGCCCCGCCTTCCTCCCCGCCCCCCCCCCGCCCGCCTATCCGCCCCGCCCGCCTCCCCGCCCCGCCGCCTCCCCGCCCCGCCCCGCCTTCCTCCCCGCCCCACCGCCCCGTCTGTCTCCCCGCCCCGCCCGCCTATCCGCCCCGCCCGCCTCCCCGCCCCGCCGCCCCGTCTGTCTCCCCGCCCCGCCCGCCTATCCGCCCCGCCTGCCTCCCCGCCCCGCCCGCCTCCCCGCTCCGCCCGCCTCCCCGCGGGCCCTGTCTCCCCGCCCCGCCTGCCTCCCCGCGGGTCCTGTCTCCCCGCTCCGCCTCCCTCCCCGCGGGCCCTGTCTCCCCGCCCCGCCCGCCTCCCCGCGGCCCTGTCTCCCCGCTCCGCCTCCCTCCCGCGGGCCCTGTCTCCCCGCCCCGCCCGCCTCCTCGCGGGCCCTGTCTCCCCGCCCCGCCCGCCTCCCCGCGGGCCCTGTCTCCCCGCTCCGCCCACCTCCCCGCGGGCCCTGTCTCCCCGCCCGCCTCCCCGCGGGCCCTGTCTCCCCGCTCCGCCCGCCTCCTCGCGGGCCCTGTCTCCCCGCCCCGCCCGCCTCCCCGCGGGCCCTGTCTCCCCGCTCCGCCCGCCTCCCCGCGGGCTCTGTCTCCCCGCCCCGCCCGCCTCCCCGCGGGCCCTGTCTCCCCGCCCGCCCGCCTCCCCGCGGGCCCTGTCTCCCCGCCCCGCCCGCCTCCCCGCGGGCCCTGTCTCCCCGCCCGCCCGCCTCCCCGCGGGCCCTGTCTCCCCGCCCCGCCCGCCTCCCCGCGGGCCCTGTCTCCCCGCCCGCCCGCCTCCCCGCGGGCCCTGTCTGTTTATCAGCTGCGCTCATCTCCCATATGGACCCTCCTTGCGAATGGCTTTCTCTCCCTCCCTCCCCTTCACACTCTCTCCCCTCAGCACACAGTAAAGCAAGGTCACCTCATCCACTCACTCACACGCACTCACACTCACTCACTCTCTCACTCTCTCTCACTCACTCTCTCACTCTCTCTCCCACTCACTCTCTCTCCCACTCACTCTCTCTCCCACTCACTCTCTCTCCCACTCACTCTCTCTCCCACTCACTCTCTCTCCCACTCACTCTCTCTCTCTCACACACTCACTCTCCCTCACACATTCACAGGCTCTCTCACACTCTCTCCCTCACTCACACTCTCACACTCCCACTCTCTCACGTTCTCTCACACTTTCTCACACACTCTCACTCACTCTCTCTCTCTCACGCCCACTCTCTCTCACTCTTTCTATCGCACTCACTCTTTCTATCGCACTCACTCTTTCTCACACTCACTCTTTCTCACTCACTCTCTCTCACTCACTCTCTCTCACTCACATTCACTCAGTCACTCACACTCACTCACTCTCTCTCACTCTCACTTAGTCACTCTCTCTCTCTATCTCACTCACTCACTCTCTCTCACACTCACTCTCTCAGGCTCTCTCACACTCTCTCCATCACTCCCACTCCCTCACACTTTCTCACTCACTCTCTCACTCACTTTCACTCTCTCACTCACTCTCACACTCACTCACTCACTCTCTCACTCACTCTCTCGCATTCTCTCTCACACTCTCTGACATTCACACTCACATTCACATTCTCACACTCACTCACTCTCACTCACTCTCTCACTCACACACTCACACTTTCTCACACTCTCTCACACTCACTCTCTCCCTCACTCACACACTCACACTTTCTCTCACTTTCTCTCACACTTTCTCACTCACTCACACTCTCACTCTCTCTCTTACGCACACTCACTCTCACACTCACTTTCTCTCTCATACTCTCTCTCACACTCGCACACTCACACTCGCACACTCACACTCGCACACTCACTCTCGCACACTCACTCTCGCACACTCACTCTCGCACACTCACTCTCGCACACTCACTCTCGCACACTCACTCTCGCACACTCACTCTCGCACACTCACTCTCGCACACTCACTCTCGCACACTCACTCTCGCACACTCACTCTCGCACACTCACTCTCGCACACTCACTCTCGCACACTCACTCACTCACTCTCTCTCTATCTCTCTCACTCACACTCACTCTCTCAGGCTCTCTCACACTCTCTCCCTCACTCCCACTCTCTCACACTTTCTCACTCTCTCACTCACTTTCACTCTCACACTCACTCTCTCTCACTCTTACACTCTCTCTCACATTCACACTCACTCTCTCACACTCACTCGCTCTCACTCACTCACTCTCTCACTCTCTCACGCACACTCACTCTCACACTCACTCACTCTCTCTCCCACTCTCTCTCTCCCACTCTCTCTCTCCCACTCTCTCTCTCCCACTCTCTCTCTCCCACTCACTCTCTCCCACTCACACTCACTCTCTCACTCTCTCCCACTCACTCTCTCTCACACTTTCTCACTCACTCTCGCTCTCTCACCTTCTCACTCACACTCTCTCTCACGCTCTCTCACTCACTCTCACACTCTCACTCACTCTCACACTCTCTCACTCTCTCACTCACTCTCTTGCATTCTCTCTCACTCACTCTCTCACGCACACTCACTCTCCTCACTCTCTCTCTCTCACACTCATTCTCTCTCACACTCACACTCACTCACTCTCATTCATTCTCACTCTCCCTCACACTCACTCTCTCTCACACACTCTCTCACTCTCTCAGGCTCTCTCACACTCTCTCCCTCACTCACACTCTCTCACACTCCCTCTCTCTCCCTCACACTCACTCTCTCTCACACTCATTCTCTCTCCCACTCACACTTTCTCACTCACTCTCTCTCTCACTCACTCTCTCGCATTCTCTCTCACACTCACTCTCTCTCTCTCACACTCCCACTCACTCTTTCTCCCTCACACTCACTCTCTCACTCTCTCACGCTCTCTCACACTCTCTCCCTCACTCACATTCTCTCACACACTCTCTCACACTTTCTCACTCTCTCTCTCTCACTCACTCTCACTCTCACTCTCCCTCACACTCACTCTCTCTCACACACTCTCTCACTCTCTCAGGCTCTCTCACACTCTCTCCCTCACTCACACTCTCTCACACTCCCTCTCTCTCTCTCACACTCATTCTCTCTCCCACTCACACTTTCTCACTCACTCTCACTCACCTTCTCACACCTTCTCACTCACTCTCACTCTCGCATTCTCTCTCACACTCACTCTCTCTCTCACATTCACACTCTCTCCCACTCTCACTCACTCTTTCTCCCTCACACTCACTCTCTCTCACTCTCTCACGCTCTCTCACGCTCTCTCACACTCTCTCCCTCACTCACACTCTCTCACACTCCCACTCTCTCTCACACTTTCTCACTCTCTCTCACTCTCACACTCACTCTCTCTCACTCTCTCAGGCTCTCTCACACTCTCTCCCACTCTCTCTCTCTCCCTCACACTCACTGTCTCTCTCACTCACTCTCTCTTCCACTCACACTTTCTCACTCACTCACTCTCTCACTCACGCTCACTCTCTCACTCTCACTCACTCTCACACTTTCTCACTCTCTCTCACTCTCACTCTCACACTCTCGCATTCTCTCACACT